TTATATTTATGATAAATAACTTATATTATAGATAAAAAAAAACTATTATTCTTTATTTTTAATTTATTTTTAAAATATTAAAATAAATTTTTAAATAATTATGATAAATAAAAACTAAATTAAATATAAAGTTAAAAAATATCTAAGTTTTATAGTAAAAAAAAGTTTTTAAAAATACTCTAATGCAAAATAACTGTTTATATTTTATATATTGGAATCTATGTTTAAACATAAAGTAGTTTTAACTTTTTAAAAATGTTTTTTCAAAAAATATGCATCTTATTTATTTATTTATTTTAAAATCTCATCCACGTGAACTCTAACTTACGTCGATCATAAATGAGGGAGGCAAAAAAAAAACTAAGTATTTGCAAATTGCTAGTGACATGATAACATCCCTACTTTAGAATCATTCCAGCTCATCACAAAGCACAAACAACTAAGCAGATATATATGTACAAGCAAAAGTAGAAATTCATCGTCCTACAATTAAGCAGAGCATGATGCTAGCGGAATCACTTTGGCTAGCATATTAAATGATCTTTAATAGTAAGCATACCGGGAACTTTTTCAGTATAATCCACATTGAACTGTTCTAAATGTAACCTTTGCGAGTTATCACACCAGCTACATCAAGACCACACTGGCTTCCATGTTTGAGTGAAGCTATGGAAGCCCTTCTTCTCATTCAGCTTCCGTTAGTTCAAATACTGCTAGCAGACTTAGAAAATTAACAAGTACATAAAGAGAATGAAACAAAAGAACTCAAAATACCAGTACCCACCATCACTACCTCATAACAAACTTCGTGCAATAAAGAAAGGTCAATGGAAGTTGTTTGTGGACATAACATACCTAGTTTTCATTTGAGCGAGAATGACGTCTTCGCGATCTGCAAATACAAATAGAACAGCTAAAAGTATTGAAATATAATGATATTACTTTTACAATTAAAAAAAATCAAATAACATACTAAACTCCCCTGGTAAGTCTATTCAGACACAGTCATTCTCAAATCACAATACTAATTGTCAAATCACATCGAAATCAGGAAATTATACACTGTGCAATCACCCTAAACCCTAAATCTGGAAACTGTTGAAATCTCATCCTTAAGGGCTATAAGAAATTAGCCATTCTAGACGGCTAGCTTCTAAGATCAACATCTAAAAGAAAAGACAAAGTAAAAAGGCCCACCATTGTCTAAAAATGCAATAAAAAGTACATAACTATTGAATTACCAAAAATGGGTATTATAAAATGCACAACAGTAACACAGCCATAACAACTGACAACAAATATCAGATTGCTAATAATTAATAAATGATTGAGTTCATATTTTCTTTTCCACACTAGTATGCCTTAGAGGTATGTGATATCCTTTGCACTTTGCAGTAATGCTAATGTAATTCTAGGCAGTTAAAGGCATATCCTCTCGTGATGTTAAAATTAGATAATTAACATATAAAAAAAAAGTCCAAATATAAAGAATATGATTCTAGATAGTCAGACTGATAGACACATGACACATCATAGTAATCTGATAAGGCAAAGAAAAACGTCACTAGCTTGGGATGTTTGAGAACTAAAATTGATGTAAATTCAGTTTTAGCCCTTAAAAACTCACCAGAATATCAATAAAAGTACAAACATAGAAATGCCAAAACTGAAAAACAGATGGAAAAGTACTACTACCCACCTGCGAAAACCACTTCCACCCCTTTGGGAGCCAATTGTACTAACAAACTCATCATCGGTCTCATCTAACCTATACTCAGCGTACTCTACAGATGCTACAGAACCTTCATCAGAATTTGAAGTATCAAAACTTAGACGGCCCCTACTTGGACCACTGGCTCTTGTCCTTCTTCTTCGGTTTCTGGAACTTCTAAAGTTATGGAAGGCGTGATACAAAATACAGGACGTCCACCAATTACCTTCATCTCCAGGGAAGTCCTCAAACTCATCTCCACTATCATCATCCCCATATTCAATCACATAATCTCCCAAAACCACTCCCCTTGGAATTTCTGAATGAATGGTGCTCAAAACATCGATGACCTCAGATGACTGCTGAAAATTTTCCCAATCAAGCAGCCGGGCAGGATCAATTTTTGATGGACAAGCATGAGGGTGTTCCACTTGAGCATGTTTTTGTAGCTCAGAGTAACTTCCCATAAATGCACATTGCTCCTCATCACAACAACGTCTCTTCTCATCAAGATGCACACGAACTTTATCAATAATTATCCACCCAAAAACATCACCTCTACACAAAGGACAACTCAGCTTGTATTGACAATCAGATGCCACTGGCTCACTATTTACCATGGAATTTGTATTAGATGTGTGGGAAGTTGCATCATACATCGAAGAAGATGGCATGCCACTTGTGTTTTTAAAACGATCCAAACAATTTGAGTGCAATTTACTAGTATCACATACAAAAGGACGACACCCCTTATGATAAGATGAGCACTGAAGGAGCACACTATTGTGAGGAACTTCCAAGCATATAGGGCAGATTACATCTTCCCAACTGGTATCAAATAGGATATCCTCCATACTGCTTACTCTATGTTGAACACTTGGACTACACTATCACAAAGTCTGAAACAAAGCACAGGCCACTCACATCAAGTCAATAAATAATCAGCAGTGTGTTTGTATAAGTCTATGGCATGCTCCTTACTATTCTTTAGTCTGATTATATTGATGAAAACTTGGTAACTTACATAGAAACCCTGGATTTCAGATCAAACCCTAAAAAAAGAAGACAAAACTCAAATTTAGCTCAAAACCAACAACACACTGGTACACAGTAAACACAATTTAAATGCAGGAAAAATATAAACCCAGTAACAATTTAATTTATAACACTATGTTAGTTCATAGGAGAATGGAGGGTAGGCGAAAGAAAATAAGGTAGCCAAAATCCCTTCTCACCCATTTTTGCCCTCCCTCAAAACACAGGAGGATTTGAAGGGCAAAGAAAATACTAAGTCCACTGATCCATGTCCAACATTCACAACAGAGAATCCAAACACGGCTTAAAATTTTACAGACTGTAAAACTAAAATTGTCCTTAGTTTGAATACTTGAGTTTTAATGATTTTATTTGTCTACTGTGAGTGTATAACAATAAATTATTTTATTTCCCCTTTCATCTCCTTCCTTAGTGCAAGGGTCAGAGTTGCTTCCATGTGACTTACAGGTCAAAGGTTTGAGTCATTCAATCAACCTCTTGCAAAATGCAAGGTAAGGCAGCCTACTATAGACTCATAATGAGTCCGACCCTTCCCTAGACTCTGCCACGGCAGGAGCTTTATAGCACCAGGCTGTCTTTGTTTCCCTTTCCTCTCCCTGTGGGCCATAGAAAAAGCCCACTGCTACTTCCTTCCCTTCCCCTCATTTAAACCAAACAACCACACTATTTTTAAGATCACTCTACCAAGGATTTGCATTTTTGATACAAGCAATCATAACTTATTATCACCATTTCTGAAATAAAAAAAAAAAAAAAAAAAAAAAAACATCAACAAGAGCACCCACCATGTTCACACTAATAGATTAGTCGATATTTAATTACAAAGTAGGTATATAAAATAAAATAATCAGATCATCACAACATCCCCTAATTAACAAGCCAGGAATAACTCAGCAGACCCAAAAAAAAAAAAAAAAATTCATTACGATTGTACATCAACCAAGTTGACCAATCCGAAACAACAATCGCTGCCGGTATATCACAGAAGTAGGATATTATTAAAATGAAAAGAAAAAAAGCGGAAAATTATTTGAAAAATTAGAGGGAAAAGAAAAAGTGAATTGTTACCCCTGAGAAAGGTGGGTAAAGATTAATTGAAGAGGAGAGAAAAGTGAGATTGAGAAGGTGACCTGATAGAGGAGTTGAGTGAAAGGGACAGAGAGTGTGTTGGATCTTGGTAGGGAATGTGGATTTGAGTTAGACAAGTATAAGGTTTGGTTTGGTCGTATGGATTTCTTCCCTCTTCAAATTCCAACACCTACAGACACGTTTCGGAAAGAGAAAGAATAGTTAAAGGCTTGGCTTAATTTAACGTTTTGTTGACCATTTTGGTATTTTTTTTAGGATTTTGCAAATATGTCTCCGTTTCTTTCTCTCGATTTCTCCTTTCTTTTTATAGTTTGAAGTGTACAAATGAAATTAAATGTCCATCATAAAAAAAATTATTTATACACTTAAAACTTTAGTAATAGATAAGAAATGGACAAACCTAAATTCAAACGGTATCTTCTTTGAAGGAATATCCAAATAAACAATTAGTACAAATGAAAAAGAGGCATTATATGCCTTGCTGTGTAAAAAAAAAAATTATATATATATATAATAAGAAAAGCATACTGTTAACTTTATAATAGTGAAATAGTGAAAAGATAAAAGTATTTAAAAGATTGTGAAGACCAAAATATAGTATTTTTTTATATTAATTTTATAGATTAATATTATAGATTACTTAATTATTTATATGCGTAATGATTAAACCAATATTAATCATTGAAAAAAACTTAACAAAATACTTTACATTAATAATATTATATATATATATATAATATGAGTGTTTACAAATTAATTTATATTTATTTTATTTTTAATTCTTTTTTTAACAATCATGAAAATGTTCATTCAACAAAGAAAAAATTGAAACAAGATTATCTTTTGACATAAGTGCACTATATTAACTCCAAGTGTGTGGTTCAGTGGTAGGGATTGATCCACGTTTAAGCAAGGTTAGGGGCTCAAATCCTGTCTTGTGTATGTAGTCGCGTTAAATCTTAGGGTCAGTTATCCTACCTTTTGAGGTGCCTCCAACATAGCGAGAAGATTAGTCACTACTATCGGCCCTAGATACTCTAGGGACAAAAAAAAAAGTGCACTATATTATTTTTTCCAGTAATAATGTTATGAGTAAAGGATAATGTCATCATCTTAAATCGTGTTTGAAATAACTTATAAATAATTATTTATATTTATCTTATTATATAACTAATTATGAAAGTATTGGGATAAATCTATAAAATCTCTTATAAATAATACATAATATGTTTTTAACTTATTTTTATAAATTATTTAATATAATTTATTATTTAACCAATGCAAAAATTTATTATAAAATAATTAAATTTAAATTCTACCATCAACATAAATAATTTTATTTTTATTTATTTTAATTATTTTACTAAAATTATATATAAATTATATTTTTTTATTACTTTCTCCAAATATTTTCATTTCTCTCTTCAAAAGTTTATGCTTCTCTTTATTTTTTTTTTGAAATTTATGATTCTTAATTTTTACTTATGGTTATATATATAATTTATTTCTATTATTTTATTAATAATTTTATTAAATTAAAAATAGGTGAATGATGATTAGTAATTATGAGACCCCCTTTTTCCTTTTCTTTCCCCTTTTCACTCTCACTCACGCAGACTCTCTCTTCTCCTCACTATCTCTTGTTGACTTCTTTCCCTCTTGTGGTGGCTGAATTGATTCATAGGTGCTGAGTAGGTGGTTGTTTCTTCCGGAGCCGTACGAAGATTTCTCAAGCTTCTCATTCATCCCCTTTTCTTCTCCTTCTTCATTGTCTTCTTCGTCCCGGAGCTCAGAATTCTTGTACCGAGGTAAGGGAAGTTAGGTCTTTAGCTGTTTGGGTTGAAAATGAGTTCCTAAACTCATGGTGTGACTGAGTTTATGTTGATTGCTGAGTTGTTGTGGTGAAAAATGGAGTTTTGGGGTTTTCGGGGTTTTTGAAGAAATTTGGGTTTTTCTTTGATTTGAGGTTGCATGCTGAAAATGAGGTGTTTTTCTTGATGTTTGATGAAAATGGGGACTTTTGGATGGATTGCATGTTGGTTTCTAGTTGATTTTGCAGGATTTGATGAAGTTTTGGAAAGTTTGAGGGTTAATGCTGAGTTTCACGCTGAGCGCCATTCTTCGCGTCGGGCGCGTGACCACCTAGGGGCTCCATTTAGGTAAGTCCGTTGGGCGCAAAGATGTGTGCGCCGGGTGAGCTTGAGAATGTGAGCCTCTGCATGGCCCACACCGAGCGCGACTTGGACTATGTGGGGCGCGATACCAGTAGGTAACATGGTTGGGGTTTCCTGGGGCTGCGCCAGGCGCGACCCTGTCGCGCTGGGCGTGGAGGCTCCTTGGGAGTCTCTGCCAAGGGGGCGCTGGGCGCAATTATAATTGCGTTGGGCGCAAGACCTTGGGGAGGTCTCTGCCTTCCCTACGCCGAGCGCGGGTTTAGGCACGCCAAGCATGTGAGGCTCCTCAGAGTCTCTGCCTGGGATTGCGCTGGGCGCAATTGGTATTGTGCCAGGCGCGTTTGAGCCTTGGGCTCTCTAAATGTGTCACGCCGGGCACAAGCACTCTTGCGCTGGGCGCGCTGGCCCCCTGGTGCCCTCTAGTTGAGCCACGCTGGGCGCGACCATGAGTGCGCCGGGCGCAGAGGTGATGTTTAGCTATGTGCTGTTAGATGTGGTGAAATTGCTAAAGAATGTTGTTTTATGCTGAGCTGAGCTGTTATTAGGGATGGCAAATATACCCGTACCCGTGGGTAATACCCGAACCCGTCCCGACTTTGACGGGGAATACCCGGTTTGACCGGGTACGGGTACGGGTACGGGTAAAACCCGATATATTGAATCGGGTACGGGTACGGGTACGGGTATGTACTTACCCGCCCCGTACCCGTACTCGTCCCCGTCCCCGTTCCTATTTTTAATTTAGTACCCACTTTTAATTTAATTATATTAAAGAATTTTAGTATTTTTTTATATGTGATTATTTATTATAATATAAGATAGAGAAATAACCTAATTATAATTATAATATAATTAAAAAAGTAATTTAAAAATATTATATTTGAAAAAAAATATAAAAAAAATAATAATAATTTGACGGGTACGGGTACGGGTACGGGTATACCCGATACCCGACGGGGGTGGGGGTGGGGATGAAAATCCATACCCGACGGGTATGGGGACGGGGATGGGGATGAGTTTTACTTGCGGGGACGGGGACGGGTATCATGAAACCCGTACCCGCCCCGCCCCGTTGCCATCCCTAGCTGTTATTGATGAATATTGATAGTGCTGAATTATAATAATATTGTTGTGCTGTGCTTCGAGCTGTGTTAATTGGGCTGTGAGCTGTTTGGCTGTGCTGTTTAATGTTGAGTTGTATGTTGTTATTGCCGCCATGCGATGCTGTTATTGCCACTATGTGGTGCTATTATTGTCGCTATGCGGTGCTGTTATTGCCACTATGTGGTGCTGTTATTGCCACTATGTGGTGCTGTTATTGCCACTATGTGGTGCTGTTATTGCTGCTATGCAGTGCTGATATTGCCGCTTTGCGGTGCTGATATTGTTGAATGCTATGATATAGTATAAGATGATGTTGTTAAGCTGATTGATGTGCTGATAGCTATGGTTGTTTACCATTCATATTGTTATATATGTATGTTGATTTCTTTTCACTAGCTTACCCTTTGATGTTTCCATGTGTCTGGACTGCGATGATCATACGTTGTATGGGAGCAGAGCAGGGATAGGTTGATGGCTTGTGGAAGGTTGGCAGCTGGCAGATAGAGCTGATTCTTTTGGGTGTTTTGTTGTCTTAGCTACCTAGTGTAGTAGTGATGGATACACTCTGACTCTAGCCAGATTTGGGCCTTATATATATATATATATATATAT